CTAGGGGCGCTGGTAAGAGCAGACGCCTCTAGCAAGCCCGGGGAGGCTCCACCTATTGGTGGGGAGCAACACCTGCTGGAAACGGGTCCAGCGTCCCTATGAACAATCAAAAATCATGTAAACATGCCACGTGTCCACCCTACTGTAAACAAAAAGAGCTAATGCACCGACACGCAGGCACGCAGCGTTATCCTAATGAGCAGCGACGATTGCTCTCAACCGAGGAATCGGCTGCCCATCACTTCATAAGATCATACCCCTACTCAGCAGTCCTCAACGTGTAATCAATCTTCCAGCACCATGGGGAGGGGAGGGGACAGTCCAAATAGGGAAACCTTCGCTAAAAACCCTCAATAGGGAAGCCATCGAAAAAACAGTCACGTGACAGGGTCATGACACCCCCACTGCCCCGTCTTGTCTGCCACGTGGCTAATCCTAGTGTTTATACCACGGGGATATGACCCCCCGGGTGGCCTAGTAAAAATCGAATCATATGGTCATGCCACGTGGCAACCCCGATGTAAACTAAGAAATTTGTCCGAGCAGCGCAGGCACATACCCTAAACTCACATCCGCAGAGCCATGACACCCCCAGTGCACCGCCTTGCCTGCCACGTGGCGAAACCCAGTGTCTATACATGTATGTTTAATGTCGTGAACAGCATTGATTACCCTCAATAGAGGGGATTGACTGCCCACCCAAACATGAATTCACACCCCACCCTGAAATACTCATGTACCACCCAAAGAGCTTTCAGTACCATGCGCAGAAGAGGCAGTCAGAGCAGGCCTCCCTAACGGCCAAATCCTAATATCCAAGTGGCGGGGCCCAAATGATTACACACGAAAACATTCCGTAGCGCCGCTTCCCGCGGCACTTCCTTCCCCGCCACCCGCCCTCCCCCCGGGTCGTCAACACGATTACAATGAAGAAAGGACACCGGGGGAGAGAAAGGAACAGATGCAGCTAGACAATCCAATATCTATCCTAACCCCTCGCGCACCCCTCCCATCCCCCCATCCAATATGGTGAACGAAGCATTCAAACAGCCCTCTCGCCCTCCCGCCGGTTCGTCAACACGATCGCAAAAGAGAAAGGACACTGGGGGGGAGGAGGGGACGGGAGAGAAAACGAAAACCCCCATCACACTTACCCAACCATCATTGTCGAGCTTATTGATGTTGTTTTGGTTGTTACCGTTGTTGTTATCCTTGTTGTTGCAATCCAGCGTGCACGATCTCACAATTTCCACACTTGCACCCGTGTCTTGCGCAACAATCACGGTGTTGCTGGCGCCCACAATCTCGGCTTCGTGGTTGCTGTTGTTGTTGTTGTTGTTGTTGTTGTTGTTGTTGTTGTTGATGTTGTCGTTTTTGTCGTTGTTTCCGCGCGCGCCCGAGCTCACGATCCCCTTGTTTGCTCCCCTGATCGGCGCGCGTTGGTTACCGTTGTTGACGTGTTCACAGCTGATGATGCCTGCATCAGTATCATGCCCCTCTTCCGTCTCTAAGTACAGGTACCACTCCTCCTCCAGCGCTGCATACACCTCCTGCCCCTCCTCGAAGATGTCGTAGCAACACCGCTTCAGAGTCTCGTCCTGCTGACCATCTATAAGGCCATCCCATTGGAAAGCTGGCCCCTCCTCCAACTCCCGGATGACCTGCAACATGTTGCTCATCCCTTCCTGAAACGGGGTCCGATGAAGCTGCCCCCCCACCAACCTCAAATCGAGCTCCCAATTGTGATCGCAGTGCATCAACCATCACCTGTAAACGACATCGAATAGATGAGAGCCAATCGGCAGCACCACGCTGCTCATCTCCCATTGAAGCCATGTGCACGTTTGAACCGCCTCGAAGTCCACACCGACAAACTCCCATGCTCCCCTGCCAATCCCACATCTGATGGGGCTGCCAAGTCAGCGTCGCCGCGAACGTGGGGCAAGACGCGTGGCTCTATCCGCCCTCCGTCAGCCTACGTGGGCGCCCGATCGCGTGGAAGGCAGCCGGGCCCTGCCGGCTGCGACCACGCGGAGTGTTAGCGCTCCTTAGCGCTAATTTCCAACTCTCTGCTCTTTTATGTTGTCACGGATAGGTCCTTGGGAAGTGTGGATGCTCCCCATCAAGAGATGGAGCCTCCAAGAAAGGGGCCACCTTAGAAGGATGCTCTTATCACCTCCTCAAGTGCCACCCGGGGTGGGGGGGGAAATGAAAGAGACGTACTTGGGAAGCTTTGACTTTCAATCCAAGACCAGGCTTTCAGAACCAGCAGCAAGAGTTCACGATGCTTCAGTCGAAAAATTGAAACCAAAGGAGGAAATTTTCCAAATACCACAAGCTGTCTCCAAGCGATCTGCCCTAAGATGCATGTGGAAGTTGATCATGGAACTGCCTCCAGAAGGAGCACACACCAACAAACTTCGTTGTTGTTTTTTTTTTTTTCCTTCTTTTTGTGTGTGCGTAAACAAGGGCCTGTGGCCCCTACTAGAGGGGGTTTTAAGAGCAGAGCCTCAAACTATCCAATCATCACGTTCAAGCAAAGAGTTGAGACTCTTGAGAGCAAAGGTTGAGTCTCCCTCAACGGACTTAGCGAGAATTGGGGGAATTTGGGGCAATGATAGCACCTGCATTTGATTGTCCCGGTGCATGCCCAGTTGCGCTACACTGCTCTTTACTGTGTGCTGCTCCCCTCGTTCTCTCAGACTTCCCAGGCACTCTCTTTCTTTTATTCAATTAATTTTACGCCTTCCTCCTTCCGTATTCTCTCATACTTTCAACCTTCCTTTCCCTTTTCCCTTAAAACACTCTTCCCTCACCTATCTCCTCACTCTTCCGTCACCTATCTCCTCTCCTCTCTTGCCTGACAGCAGGGCACACTTACGTCCTCCCTCGCACCTGCACTCCCTTCTCCTTCCTCTCCTCGGTGCAGCGCCGACCCTGCACTAAACTGTGCACGTTGCAGAATGCTGTGCACAGGGAGCTATCATTCTGTGCCGCTTTGCCGCATGGGCACTGACCCAGCCATTTTTTCCTTCATGTTTCACAAAGTGTGAGACATATATACAGAGTTGCAGTTCGTCCATTTTTCAGCCAGCGACTCAGCGAAGTTATAATTATGAAACTATGAGTGCATGTTCCTCCCAGGGAATGTCAAGGAGGGAAATTAGAAAACGCTTGAAAATGCCTCCTGAGCTCAAACCTTGGAAGTATTGGACCCTCTCACGTAATCCAGAGTTTTACATGCCTGATTCCCTTACGATGGGAGCTCAGGTCAGCGTAAGAACAGTTCATGGGTGTGCCAGTCCAACAAATGGCTGGGTCCCTGTTCTGTCTTTCTGATTCCATCGGGATTCGAACGCAGGTCAGTTTCTGAACAACTCATGGGTGTACCACTCGGGCAACATGGTCTTGGGTCTGGCACGGTGTGGACAGCCGCAAATAGCAGGAAGTCGCCTGTGGAGGGCGGAAGGAAGAGAAGAGCACAGAGCAGGATGCAGACACTAAGAGAGATGCGACATGCACGTACAGACTCACGTGTTTCACATTGCAAAAAAAACACCATGCACAGGAACACATATGTTTCGAGTCACCATAAAGCCATCGTGTGCGCAAAACCCATATGTATTAGAGACAGCATGTTAGAGTCCACTAAGCAGACAGATGACAGGAGCCAACTACAGTTAGAGGAGATACGCACAGGTCTGCGTGTGCACAGTCACAGACAGTTCCAGTGCGGATACTGTCCAACAATGCAAGCACGCACGGAGTACAGTCTGGCGCATGGTTTGCAACTTTGCACCTGATATCATATCCCTCCTCCCCTGCCTCATTCTCAATCATTCCTCTCTCTCTCTCTCTCTCTCTCTCTCTCTCTCTCTCTCTCTCTCTCGCTCTCTCTCTCTCTCTCTCTCTCTCTCTCTCTCTTGCGCGCGCGCGTTCGTTTCGTCCCGTGCGACAAGTCGGGAGTCAAGGTTCTCTGCCGCATAAGGTTATAATGGTGATGGGCACTCTGCATAGAATGATTGCCAATACCTACAATATCAAGGATATAGAGGGCAGTTTTAAACTTTTTTTTGTCAAGTACAAAAAGGAATTAAAGGTATGCAAGTGAGAAGATGAACTTCTTTTACTGTTGAGGGAGCTAATCTTCTGATCTGTTGTAGGCCCAATGTTTGCCACATTGACCTTTGCCTTGCCATTTTGTTGAGTAGACACTGTAGAGTAGTGTAGCAAGGGCTGGTGTCTAGGCGCCGCCTTCGCGCTCACGCCGCAACGGGTTCACGGTGATTGACAACATGATCTTCGGTCAATTTTCTGTAGAAACTGCACGGACTTGAGACGGAACTCACCATAGCCGGTGCAACACAGGCAACTGAGGAGTGGACAGCGAGTTGAGGTGTTCTATGGTGAAGCATCGTAACAGTCCATCACAGCGCCCGCGAATTTAGGACCGGAGAGCCCAAGAGATGACGCGGTCCCGATGCATCGATGAAGGATTGACCTCCTCCATCCGGAATCGGGAGTCAACAGGCGTTTTTACTGGTAAGGCGTGGTGCTACGACGAAGGCGAAAAGAATCAGCTTACAACAACAGCTTCGGTGAGAAAGAGAAGCGGACAGTGACAACTTACTGCGATAAGGAGAAGGGGTGGGGTGCAACAGTTGGAGAAAGGACAAAGTGGAAGTTCAGGAACCCTCGTACATATAGTCAAAAGGAGACAAGTGGCGACCGGTGGAAGGAGACAACAAAGCGGAAGTTCAGGAACCCTAGTATACATAGTCAAAGGAGACAAGTGGCGTCCAGCGGGAGGCTTGTGCCATCGTCTACCTGCTTTGAGTCTCCCCTCACCTATGCTTTAGTTCCACTGCTCCCCCGTCTGGTCTCTCTTATCGTCCCCCCCTCTTTTCCATGCGTCTCCCCTCGCTCTTATCTTTGCTCCTCCGACTTCTCTCTTTCTCTTTACCTCTTACTCTGCTTCTCCCCTCTGACACTCTCCACGATTCTCTCTTTCCCTGTCCCTCTCTCCCTCTACTTGTTCACTGCTTCATGACATCTTTTTGCTGCTTCTCCCTTTTGTAGCCTTACCCCTTGTCTACTTACCTGTTGATTACCTTCCCCCGGCCTCTTCTCCCCCTTTTTTTTGCCCCCCGCCTTTTCTCTGCCCCGTTCCACGGTTCTCTCCTCCCCTGTCCCTCTCTCCCTCTACCCTTTCGTGGCTTTCACACTGCTTCACGGCCTATCCTCCTCTATTCCCGAATTCTGCCCAATTCCTTATCTATCCTTCGTCTATTGCTTCATCTATCGCCCTTTGAATATCCCACCCCGACCCCTCCTTTACCCCMCCTTTTTGCTGCCCCCCCCCTTTTTTTTTTAGCGTTACCCTTCATCTAATTACCCATTGATTACTTTCCCCCGGCCCTTTCTTCCCCTCTCTTCCCCCGCCTCTTCTGTGCTCCGTCGTCTGCTCCGCTGTCTGCTTCCTGTCCTTCTGCTCTCTCACCCCTCAACCTCCGTTGTCCCAACCTCTCCTCCGACGTCCAAGCTTCAGTCCCCTTCTCTCAGCCCCGGTATCTGTAATCACTCTCCCTCTCTTTAGGAAGCGTCCCTCCTTTACCCCTCCTTTTCGCTGCCCCCCCCCTCTTTTTTAGCCTTACCCTTCATCTAATTACCCGTTGATTATTTCCCCCGGCCCTTTCTTCCCCTCTCTTCCCCCGCCTCTTTTCTGCTCCGTTGTCTGCTCTGCTGTCTGCTTCCTTCTGCTCTCTCAACCCTCAACCTCCATTGTCTCGACCTTTCCTCCGACGTCCAAGCTTCAGCCGCCCTCCCCCAGCCCCGGTATCTGTAATCACCCTCTCTCTCTGTAGTCTCTTCCCCGCCCATTAGCAGGATACCCCTTTAGGAAACCCTTCCCCAAAGGAAAGATAACCCCCAGAAGTGTGAGAGTTCCAGAGATTTCTAGAGAAGGGTGTTTTTGAAGGGTAATCAGAAGAGGGAATCAAAAGTCAACCAATTCAAGACACATATTTTTGGCCATCAGACTTTTTTATGAGATGGCTAGTCTGAAGAGTGAGGTCAGACACCAAAAAGGCAGGGGACAGTCTTCACCATTTTTGCATTACAGAGCAATGGGGCATCACTCTAGCAATAGGCAGCTTCCAAGGGGTAAAGAGAGGATGGAGCAAGATGGTGTCGCTGAGAACCCCGGTTCCCAGCCACCTTGGAGGTCAATATCAACCCCTTCGAGTAGGGCGGGGCGCGGCGCTACCGGGAGCGCTGCGCTCCGCCCCAGGTTGCGACACGCCGACATCGCACAGGTGGGCCATGGTGACGGCATGCGGCGGCGATGGTGGCCATCTCTTCTGTAAACCAGGCGCTTTGCACACGCGCAGGTGACTGAAGGCGCTTGTCCATGCCACGTCACAAGCTGATGTGGCGGCTGGACTAACTCCCGTTTTTCTTCTTCTGGGAGTTCCACGTTTCACTCCATTGCCCCTGCGTTTTTGCACGTGGCATATGGCCTGAGAGGCGTTGGCTATGTCGATGCCTGTGGAGTACAATGGAGTCAGCCCTTGGTAAACTGAAGTGCAGTGGAGACTGCAATCATGAGAGATATGTCAGCACAATCAGGGCGTTGCTCGTCATCAGCAACGGGGCGTTGATCACCACCAGTACCATCATCAACAGGGTGCGGTTCGACACCATCATCACAGTAATGGTCCGTCATTATCATCAGGGTGCTGCTCGTCATCACCATCATCATCATCATCAGGGTACTGCTTGTCATCATCATCAAGGTGTAGGTCTTCACTTCTGTTCGGCACTAGTATCATCATCATTATCACGGAGCCGTTCATCAGGGGTGCTGCTCGTCACTCATCGTTGTATTACCATCATCAATAGTTCACCATCATCAATAGTTCACCATCATAGGGCGCTGCTCATCCCTATCATCATCATCATTAGGTTATCATCAAAAGTGCTCGTCATCAGCACCATCATCATCCTGTTGTCGTCACAGGGCGCCGTGGGTCATCATCATCATCATCATCATCATCATCAGTTTGTAATCACAGGGGCTGTTGGTGCTGCTCTTTAGTATGATCAGCATCATCATTTTGTCGTCATTCTCATCACTACCATCATCATCATCAGTTTGTCATCATTAGATGTTGCTCTTCAAGGCATTGTTTGTCTTTCACATCAGTAGGTGAGTTGGTCGTCACCATCATCCTCATCATCATCATCTTCAGGGTGCTGTTCATCGTCATCAGCAAAATCCAAAAAATATATATATCATCTACCATTTCTCCATCATAATTTTCAGAAATTTTCGATTTTTCCACTCATATCTTAGGAATCCTATTTCCTAAATTCCTTGGTTTTTCTTTTCTCCACTATTAATTTTTTATTTTCCTTTGGGCGCACTAATGAATTCTTTTTGCATGGGTGGGGGGTTGGGGTTTTAAGGAGGAGAGCTCTACTCTGCAGGGGCTTCACAAGGTGGAGGGTGAAATGCCCTGGAGGGAGTGGGGGCAGATTTTTGGGGGATGCCCTATTCTGGGGCTGGGAGAGATGTATAGGTTGGCATCATATCCCAACGGAGGCAGATAGGGGTGAGGGGTTCAGTGAGGCATACTTTGGGTGGAACTGGATGCCTTAGTGGAAGTTGGGGGAGGAAGCAGGTATGTCCCAAGTTGGGGCCGATAAGGAGAGCTTGTGATCAGGGCAGTCCTTATCGGTGGAGGCAGCGGAGGGACAGGGGGAGATGGAGGGGAGGGGGGGGAAATAATCCACAGAAACGTCCGGAATTCTGATTCTCCTCTTAAGCAAAACAAATTATTTCTGGTGGGGTGGTGGGGTGGTGGGTTGGTTCTGGGGGGGAGAGCTCTACTCTGCAAGGGCTTCACAAGGAGGGAGGTGATTGCCCTGAAGGGAGACGGAGCAGATTTTGGGGGATGCTCTATTATGGGGCTGGAGGAGATGTATGGGTCGGCATCAGTAAGGGGGGAAACGGGTCTGTCCCAAGTTGGGGCCGATGAGGAGTGGCCATGATCAGGGGCGGTCCTTTTTGGTGGAGGCAGCGGTGGGGCAGGGGGACGAGGGGGACAGGGCGGAATTTCTATATCCTTTGTTTGTATTTGGTGGGACTTTTCCTTATTCTTTATGGAGTTTTCAAAACAAGCACCCTTGTTATTCCTGGTAGTGTGAAGAATCTCTCGGGACTCTGAGGATCTGCTGGTGGTTTGTACGAAGCTGCACTGGAATTAGACTGGCATATTCAGGATCCGTGGTTGTTCAAAGCCAGAACGACGCTGGCCAGAGCCGGGGTGATGCCCTGTAACTTGCCGAAGGTGAGGGCATGAGGCCTTGTAGAGAGATCAAGGGATGCTATGCGGGGGCATCCTAAGGGACAGTTGGGGATTGCTGACACAGGACAACACTGGCCGGAGCTGGAGTGAGTCGCGTTGCTCTGTAACCTAGCAGATAGGGAGCGTGAGGCCTGGATGAGTTTGTCAGAGAATAAGTCAGTTTTAGTGAGCTTTGTTATGATCTGTTGGAAATCCCTTAGATACTCGAGTGTTTGGAAAATTGCGGCGGATTTCAGGAGGTGTTTAACGATCATAAAAAAGGATTCGTAGTCTTCTCATCATCTATCCCGAAGTCCAGTAACGTGTTTACGATCTTGGAGGATACTCTCAAAGCTGGAACCGGGTAAATGACCCCGGTACCTCAATTGGTTCATAAATTGTTTTGTACATATCTTCATATGGGACGCTGGGCCCGATTCTCAGCACGTGCTGCTCCCCACGAATAGATTGGAGCATGTTTAAAAAAAAAAAAAAAAAAAAANAAAAAAAAAAAAAAAAAAAAAAAAAAAAAAAAAAAAAAAAAAAAAGCCCAGAACAGGCCTCCCCCTCCCCTAAGGAGCTGCTTAAGGAGATGACGGATGCACAAAAAAATACGGCCCCTTCTTCTACCTGGGCTGGACCCTGGAGATCCCTTTTGACAACCTTCCAACAGCGTCGACCTTTTTTCTCTCCGAATTTTTGGTCTCCCCTGAGGATAAACTAATTAACCAAGGGGGGAAGAAACATCGAGTCAAAGCCCCCCTGCTTCTACCTGGGATGGACGACTCAAGGGGATGTACCTGGTCAGTCAAAAGGGAAAAGGAAGGGGAGGAGGACCTGGAGATCCCCCTTGACAACCTTATAACGGCGTCGACCTTTTTTCTCTCTGAATTTTTGGCCTCCCCTGAGGATAAACTAATTAACCAAGGGGGGAAGAAACATCGAGTCAAAGCCCTGTCGGAGGTCATACTAAAGGAACGAGACACGATTTACTCACGGCACGCTAGTGTCTGGGTATTCTATGACGACGCGGCCTACAAATCAGCAAACGACAAGGTGATATGGATTAGGAAGAGGCTTGCCACCCTGAAGGGCTCGAAGGAGGGGGCACGAGACTTCTTTCTGATCCAGCCGACCTCGTCGACAATTTTTACCGCGTTAAGCATATTCGATTCGGACAAGAGAATCATGGATACATGGCGGAGTATCCCGTGTGGTCACTCAGAGGTGAGGATTTTTCCTTGGTCCCCACCTAAACAGCCAAAGCCGGCGGAGAAACGGGATCAGCTGATGTCGGATTTTTATTGGGTAGAATTCCGCCATGTGCCCATTGAAATCCAAGGGGCTTTCGTACATGAGCTAGCCCAGAGATATGAGATTGTCGATTTCATCGACCCCCTCCCCTCCTACGTTGCCCCAAGGGATGACTATCTAATGATTGCCTTGGACCTGCCAAAGGAACACGTGTTTGCAATAGACGATGTGGTCCTCTTTCGAGTAGGCGAGAGGGACTATCGCATTCACACTGCACATTAAACCAGGCCATGGTGTTTCAAATGCCAGGTATATGGCCATCTCCCATCTGACTCCGATTGTCCTCACCATCCGGCCAAACGAATCAGATCTACGGGGCGCTTGCTACGAGACCCCTTTCAGGCCACACGATGCAGAACAGTTGACCCGGGGCACGAAGGATGGGTGTATGTGGATGAACCCCGGGAGGGGGGAGGGGTTAAGAGGTGGGAATGAGAGAAGAAAGAAGTGGCAAATTTAGCCACTAAGCCACTAGAGCAATGAATCCCTCCTCAGCCTGCGGAGGTCAGGATGGAAGGAAGTTCTAACCCACTCCCTTCCCCCCTTTCCTCCTCCTCCTCCCTCCAAGGGACAGGGGGGGTGTCACAGGGGACATCAGAACCCTAGCCCAAAGATTTCATCACCCCATGGGACACAGAAGAAATATGGCATCCCCCGCCCCCAAGAAAGACAGCACGACCTAGGAAAACATTGAAGGTAACAAACACTCCGGATAAATGAAACAACGTCTGGAAGGGGTCGGCTAATCAGTTTGCAAACCTCGTGAGAGAGAAAGAAATGGAGCCGGATCAACAACAAAAGGAGCAGGGGCAGGAGCAGGGGCGAGAGCAGGGGCAGGAGCAGGGGCAGGAGCAGGGGCAGGAGCAGGGGCAGGAGGAGGGCCCCCACCAGGTGAAGGGAAAGGGTCAGAGGACGAGAAGAGCAGACAAGAGGACAAGAGGGGGGGGGAGGGACACGCGATCGCAAAGAGAGGAACTCCAACAGGCACGAGTGGGGAAAGCTCCTTCCCTGGGGGAGGCTGATGCAGACCCCTTCTCGCGGGTTTTTGACGCCCAACCCATGGACTGGGAGCCACCGGTTACCCCTCCAGACGTGGAAATGACGGACAGTATTCCTGAGGACTGGGGCCAACAGGACATGGAAACCAAGCTGAAAAACCTGGCAGATAGGTTAATCAGTCGGCTCAAAACCCTGCATCCACACCAAAGTGATATGTTATGGGACGAAGCCTATGTCCACCTGTTCTCACTGTTGGACGAGAGCCTGGCCCTAAAACAGGCACTGGAACGAGGTCTACCTCCAGGCACCAGCTGACAGCAAGCCCTCCAAAGGATATGGGTCATTGTGCAAGAGAAGTTCCTCCCTTCAGCTGCACCAGACACGGAACAGTCACTGGCCCCCGCACCCCTGATGGTTGAGGAAACTGCCAGGCCTTCGGCCTGGGCAGAGGCGGAGCAAGCTGGGCCGTCCCGGAGGGTCAAACTGCGCCACTTGATAGAAAAGGGACTGTACGGTGGGAATCTCCCAAGGGATGATAAGGTGATTGTGCTCCCGCTCAGAACAAGAGGGGGAAAGTGGGAACTTGGCCTCTCACTGGCAGAATTTGAGGATCCTTACACCCCGACGTATGGAGGGGTTACATTGTTAGGGTGGCATCTGCAGAGGGAAGGAGTATTAAAATTTCACGAAGTAAAACAATTTATTGTAGAACACTATGAACCCGGAGCTACTGCTACTATCAGCGTGTCCTTGGAAAACATGAATGCGGGTATGCAGTGGCACACACATACTGCCCTCTTGGATGCCCAACAGCTAAAGGTGAAACCCAGTCACATCTGGTCGATGGACGAACTCCTTACCTATATGTGCACAATTCTAAGGAAAAACATCATGGGGGATGAAGTGGATTGGGATGCTAAGAAATGGCAAAGACTGTAATAACCCCGGGGGGAGACAGGTGCACGACCGGAAAGTCAAGAAAACCAAAAGACCAGTATGGATTGGGTTGACACTTTATACGTGAAGAACAAAGCTTGGAGGAGAACTCTCCAACGCGCTGATCTAGATGTTAGGTCTATCAATGTAAATGGCCTGGCATCCTGCTGCATGGAAAAAAACAGGCACTATGGGATCTTATGAGGGGAGTGGGAGGCAAAAAGTGGCTAGATGTTGTATGTATACAAGAAACTCGCTTGATGGACCTACCGGAACACCACAGGGCACGAAAACAGGTCTGGCCCTATCATAGCTACTAGGCTTTCGCCCCCGGACAGGGAGGGGCAGGGGTGGCAATTTGGATCCCACCCGACTCGCAATTCGAAGTCCTCCACTGGGAAAAAGATGAAGAGGACGAACGCTGGGTGTCAGTACTCGGTATGCTGGAGCTGGAGGTGATTTGTATTGTTTTCCTCTACGCCCCTAACTCTCCCCGCGAAAGGAGAATTTTCTTGGAAAAAATAAAGAATATCCCTACCCCTGGTGTCCTGGTAGTGCTAGCAGGGGATTATAATGCAGCGCCCGAACAGGTTTTGGACAGATGGAAAATTTATCCCTCTACAGTCCATAACGCGGAAGAAGATGAAAAAATGATAGGGGAGTTATGCTCCTCCCTTCAACTATTCGATACCTATAAACGTATCTACCCCACCGAGAGATTCTTCACCTGCATTAGGAGCAACGAGCCGGGTAGGCTCTCAAAGTCCAGGATCGATTTGATCCTAGCCTTGGAGGACCTTCTGGGCGGGATGACAGCAGCCGCTATACTTCTAATGAGTCCTTACCCCGGTCTAGATCATCGGATGTGCATGGCAATGTGGACTTTCCGCAAGCGCCCGGATCAAGGGGCCAACTATTATAAGCTCAACACCTCTCTGCTTAGATTGAAATCCTTTCAGAACTATCTACGACAAAATTGGAATATTGGAAGGAGGGTAACCATCATCACGACTCCCAGATTGCATGGTTCAATAATGGGTTGTTTTTTTGGCAAGAAAAGTAATGATTTCTCAAAGTTTTTGGCCGCTCAACGGCATCAACAGGAAATTTCGATAATGCGAGATCTGGTGGAACTAGAGCAGCAGGAAACTACGCATGGACACGAACAGACGACTACGATACAAGAATTGAATGAACTAAAAGAACAACTCCTGAATTTTGCATGATACCGATGACAAGGAGCTAATCTACGGGCACAGCTAACAAAATTCTCAACGGAAGGGACCATGGACGTGCGTTTCTTTGGACTGACCAATGTGCGTTGTAAGCGGACCACAATAAAGGCCCTTTATGACCCAGAAGCAAGGGAAGCGGAACCGGCCGTGACCACAGCCAGATGCACAAAAATTTCTCTCGACTTTTACAAATACTTATTCTCTTCGCATATCGACAATTCTGACGAGATGGTTCACAATAGGCAAATTGCGAAATTTTGGACCGATAGAAAATATGATGTCCCCTATATAGAGAGAATCCCTTGAAAACCGCTCACCGAACAGGAGATATGGACGACCCTCATGCAAATGCGTGAGGATAAAGCCTCGGGCATAGATGACTTCCTTAAAGAGTTTTGGGAATCCACCTGGGATTTCCTCGGTCAGGATGTGATGGATTTTTACCAGGAAGTATGGCGGACTGGGGAAATGGGTGAGAGGGTGGGACAAGGGGTGTTGACCCTACTGTACAAAAAAGGA